GCCCTCTGGGGGAGATGCTAATACACTTGTGCATTTATACAACTGCTAAATATGTGTGTGTTTTCTTGGAGGTGTTCCTAGAACACCTGGGGTGGTTCTCAATCCTGGAGGCTGAATAGAAGCTCTGGGGAGAAGTTGTACCTTGGGGCAGGGGAGGGAGGTGCTCAGCTTGGGTGCATGGTGTTGCACCCAGTGAGGTTGCCCTTTCAGAGGCTGGTTCAGGAAACCCAAGGCCAGCTCTGGAAAGCACATGGCTGACCTGGGTGTGGTGACACATCTCTGTAATCGCAGCACTCTGGGAAGTAGAGGCAGAAGGATCAGATGAGAGGCTACTCTGAGCAACCTCTGTTTCAAAATAAAAATATTTATTAAAAAAGTGCTAGAGATGGAGCTCACCATGAAAGCCTTGGGTTCACTCTCCAGTGCAGCATAATAAACAAGGAAGGAAGGAGGAAGGAGAGAAGGAAGGAAGGAAGGAAGGAAGGAAGGAAGGAAGGAAGAGCATGTATGCCTGGAGGGCACTGATTGCTCCAACCCATGTTCCCCGGGACTATTAGAAAGGTGCCTGACAATAGTAGGTGCTCAATAAATACTTGTTGGATTCCATAGCACAGTTCTAGCCTACATTTTGTTAGTCACAGAAATTAGAACCAAAGTGCTGTCTTTAAATCATGCCCATCAGATTAGCATGGGGTTTCTCATCCTTTTTCTCATTATCACTTCTCTCTGGATTCTTCTTTAGTCAAATCCTTCCATGAACTTTTAATTCCACAATACACTTCCTGTGTATTGGTCTGCGTATTATATATCACTTGATACATGAAGAGTCTGACTTCTGTGCTTCCCCAGAAGTCTGATCCCACTGCAAACAGAGGGATTCAGGGTTCATTTGCCAGTGGCTACTTCAAGCATTGGCTCAGTTTCATCTTGTTCCATCTTATATGGTAGGTGCATCCTCATTGCACAGATGAGACTGGGGTTCAGAGAGGGTAAATGACTTCTCCTAGGTCACTCAGCTTGTCCGTGGAAGAGACAGACTAAATGTCTAGTCTTTGAGACTCTAAAGCTAGCACTGTTCTGCTTCTCTGCACAGAGGTTAAGTAACATGCCTGGAAAGAGGTGGCTGGGGACTTTGAAGTCCTAATTTAGTCCTAAAAATGCTGCCTGGTAAGCATTTTTAATCCACCAGACACACCTTCTGCATGTGCAAATAAGTCAGTGTTTCAGCGCATCTCAAGATGCGTGCACTCATGTAATCCAAGCACTTTGGGGAGCTGGTGTATAAGAATTGGAAGTTCAGGCCCTGGTTGAGTGACTTAGCAGGTCTCTGTCTCCAAATAAAAACTTTTAAAAAGGGCTGGGGTTGTGTCAAAGCTCTGGGTTCAGTCTCAGTTCTGCAAAAGGAAAGGATGGGAAACATGGCACCAGGAAGAGTTGCCTGGTGGATTGTTTGGGAAACTCAGGACAGACCAGAGCCCCAGGGCTGGAGTGCAACCAACCTCACCCAGAAACTAACCCTCCAGGTTATTACCTACAGGCCTGGTTGGGGTCATGTTGAAGTCACAGAGATTAGTAGGTCCAAGGCAGGAATGCCCAACAGAAATAATGCAAGCCACATTGTAATTTTACATTAGAAAAGTAAAAACAGTCACAATCAATTTTAATAATGTATGTGATTTAACCTAATGCTTTTAAAAATAGAATAATTTCAACACATAGTAAACATAATAAAATTATATATTGCATTCTTCTCATACTATTTATTCAAGATCACATAGCACATCTCTGTTAGAACCCACCCTATCTCAAGGGGTCTACCCACCACAATGAGGGCTACTGCACCAGACCAGGCAAACTGATATATCATATTGGGGTTGGCACATGGAACACTCTATTTGATCTGCTGGGTTGCATGGGCCTGCTTAGATCCATCGAAGCAATACTGTGGCAACAAACAGTTCCATCTAAGTGGGCCCAGCATACAGCGAATACAAGAGGACTGGCTGCAAGATTGGTGGTACCCAGTATGAAAAGTGGATACCCCAGGTCCCTTGCCAAAGATGACTAAGACTGTTTAACACTCGGGGAGGTGAGGCAGGAGGATTGTAAGTTTGCATTCAGCCTGGACTACATTATGAGTTCAAGCTTGGCCTGGACTACATGATGAGACTCTGTCCCAAGCAAGCAAGCAACCAACCAACCAACCAAGACAACAAGCAAAGAAACAAAGAATTTCAAGTCAGTGACAGTGGATCAATAAACCAAATTTGAGGGTTTTCTGAATTTGGGGTCCCATGTGATCACACAGGTTGCAAACCCATGAAGCTGCCCTTGGGGACAGAAGATTCACTAGGTTTACCCATTACTGGCCAAGCAGGGGCGCTGTGGTTATAATAACAGCAGTAAGTATAGTAAGGGTCACAAAGCCATAGCAGCAACAACACAGTTATGGGCACTTACTTTGGACCAAACTCTGTTCTGAATCCTTTACCTAAAAAGTACCATGCTTAAATTTTCAGAACTCTTCAAAGTTGACACAGTTTTTATCCACTCTTACAAGAGAGAGAGAGAGAGGAGAGAGAGAGAGAGAGAGAGAGAGAGAGAGAGAGAGAGAGAGAGAGAGACAGACAGACAGAGAGAGAATCGGAAGAAAGCAGAGAGAAAGAGGTGATGTCACATAGCCAATAGGTTGCTATACCATGAAACAAACCCAGACCATCTCTCATCCAGTGCTATTAAACTCTACAATGTGGCACTGAGCCAAAGTCAGGGACACTCAGACTTGAGTGCTTCTCGTGGCAGTGTAAGACTGTTCATTTCAATAATTTCTCAAAAGCAGACATGGAGGAAAACAATGAATTTTGCCTTGGGCTTGAGTCTAGCTCTACCTCTTTGTTCTCTCAGCTGGAAAATGGGTGTTACCAGGCTCTCCTGGCTGCACAGAGCACGAACAGAAACAAAGTGTATAAGGACAAAGAGCACCCTGCGCATGTAGCCGGCACTCAAGCCTACAGAAAAGTCCCAAGCATGGTTCAGCAGCCACTGCCATCCCAGAACCACCAGGCAGCACAGTTGCAAGTACTCAGTTTTTCTGTCTGTCTGTCTGTGCCCTGCACTATTTGAGAGTTAGGCAGAGCCATTACAATGTTTCACTCCAGCACCATGTATGAATAAAGACATTTTCCTATACAACTTCAGCATACAAAGTAGTTCACTTTTATGAAATGTATCATTGATAAAACACTACTAGAGACAGCTTTGTAGCACATAATGCCAGTACTAGGGAGGCTGAGGTAGGAAGATCAAGAACTGAGGAACAATCTGAGCTACCGAGTGAGACTCTGAAAAAAAAAAAAAAATAAAGGCCAAGCTAACAAAGACACTATTATTTAGTGTATAGCCTATATTCAAATTTCTTCACTTGTTCCCCGAATGACATTTGTTGTTAATTTGTGTGAGTGTAGCTGTGTCCCAGCCCATGCAGACTTTTGCCTCAGTATCACACATTGCACTTGGGTCTCTGGCTCTTACAAACTTGCTTAACCCTGAACCATTCATTTCTCAGCCGCTTGTCTTTGAGGACATTTTAGAATCTAGGCCAGTGGCTTCGCATGTATTTTGTCTCTAATACATCCCTTGAAGTTCCTGAAAATAAGCGGAGGCTCATGGGTAAATGTGGGGAAAGAGGTCTGTAGGATGCACAGTGCCAGAGGTCCGTGGTGTTTGGTATTAGTTGAATGTGGACGGAGGTTAACGATTTCCTGGAAGCAACAAGGGCAAATGTTTAAAGAAGGACAGACCTCAGCCAGGTGCTTGTCATTCCAGCACTCTGGGAGATCAAGGCAGGAGAATTGAGTTTGAGTTCACATTGGGCAATTTAGAGATGAGAGCCTATCTTAAAAAAAAAAAAAAAAGCCTGGTGATGTAGCTTAGTATGTAGGTCCTGGGTTTAATCCCCATATCCCACCCCCAAGATGGACCTCTGCACAGGTGCCATGATAGACAGAGGCCAGGGCAGAAGTAAGATGGCATTCTGAAGGGAAGGCAAGTGGCAGCAATGGCCCTGAGGGTGGCTGCTCCCACTGGACTGGGCTGCTCCAGTCGGAGATGCTTCCTGACTCCAGTAACCATGTAGGCTCTGCCCTCTGCTCCAGCGTGTCTGGGGCAGTGCCCATGCCAGTCAGCATTCACCCACAGTGACTGGCTGCCAAGTGTCCCCAGAACACAGAGGCAGACCAAACACGATGCCTTTCTTTCCAGGGGTGACCTGGCTGCCAGCTCACACATACCCCTAGCAGGATTTAAAAGAGCAAGCTGCCTGGATTCTCACATCTTGCCTGCAAATGAAATTCCATTTACTAAAGTTGTTTTCTTGTGGTTACCTCTTGGGGTATGGGCTGCTTCTCAAAATGAACTTCTAATAGATCATAAGATTTGGGGGAGCTGCTCTCCAAAGCTGCCTCCGACCCTTTCTTCGCAACAGCCTGCCAGGTTGTCAATTGAGATTCTCCTGCAAACTCCTCCTGAAATGCCCGCAGACAGCCCCCCTGCCCCCAGTTTCAAGGAGAAAGGAATGTGTGTGCAGTTTCAACCCTGAGAATGAAAGGGAAGGATTTATTTTGGGGCTTGAGTAAAAATGCCTTCTCAAGGTGACCCTCACTTCATTTCTGGGGACCAGAAAGGTATAGATAGCATTTTTATAAACCATCTGGTAAAAGCAAATTCCTTTATCTATCATTTTTATATCCATCTTTATTTTGTTCCCATTTTAAAGGGCTCAGCTTGCTGGGCTCTCTACACAGCATCCTTGAAATATCTGTCTTGCATGTTTGTGTGCTCTTTATGCAAAAATTCATGCATAAATGTGCTTGCACAAAGTATATGGGCACGTGCTTATACACATAGTTGCACACACCAATATCACACTGAGACACACCTCCCTATACCAGTGGACACACACACACACACACACACACACACACACACAGGTGTACACTCACTTGCCTGTAGCCAGGGTCCTGCAGCCAGCCCAGCTCTCCTGCTTAACACGCGTCCTCTATGCCATCCTGCAGAGCCCCAGGGATGCAGCTGGCTGGGCTCATCCTCAAAGATGCTGCCGTGCACCAGCTCCTGCCTCAAGAGGCTGGTCCTGACTTCCAAGCGGGCCCCAGAACATGGGCTCAGGTATAGGAGAAAAAATAGGGCCCCTCACAAGCAAAGCAGGTTTGGGAAAAGGCCGGGGCTCAGCTGGTGCTCAGCAAGTTAGTGAGGGAAAGGGATGGACAGGCACCGTGGAGGAGGAGGGAAGAGAGCGAGAGACTGAAGATGGCTTCAGAAAGAGGGCTTTCCACACAGAAATGGAAAGATACACCCAGAGACAAAGAGGAACAGAGACCTCAAAAGGAGACAAAAGAGGGAAAACAGAACACAGTTTAAATTATTTTTTTTTTTTTAAAGATACTTTAAGCCCACTTGGGCTTAAACCACAGTGATAGGTCACATGAACTTAGACCTCCTGGATAGCCTCCCCCCCACCCTCTCTGCTTCCAGGGGTCTCCTCCTAGATTTTCCTTTAACAGATTTAGGAAGCCCTGGAGGAACACGCAGCAGCAAGCCTGAATGGTTTCCTCAGGACTCAGCCAGGCAGGGGCTCTGAAGGATGCCCAGTCATCTTCAAGACCTCTGGGGCAAAAGGGTTGCTCTGCTCTAAGATCCCCCGTAACCCCCTTTCAGGGGTACGGAGTGACCTTGGGGACCAATTATTTTCCTACTTACAGCCTAAGCTTGGGGTCAATGCCTGTGCTGGAGGAACCCACAAGAGGAAGTGGAAATGCTCACAGGATAGAGGGGAGGGGGTGGCGCAGAGCTTTTGGTCACGTGCTGCTCATCAGTTGCCATGACGACAACAAAAGGGGTGGAGGCATCCAGACTCGAGTCTGCAGGAGAGATGTGTTGGTTCTAAATCACAGCCCTGACAGTGCTTCAGTTGAGCCATTACGCTGTTGCCTGGGCAACCAATGAGATCAAATCGCGGAGGAAATCTATAATTATTACAAGGCAGATACTGGCATATTCAGCTCAGTAATTGGCACAGTAGGGCTGTTTAACCTGAACTCTGGCAGGGGAATACATTGACCCCTGGCCCCCAAATCTGGGGAGGATAGTCCAAAGGAGACTTTTCAGGTGTGTCTGTTGATGTTACCTGATGTTACCTAAATATTAGGTGGGACCACATGAAATTGCCCATAATTACCACTGAAAATATCCCACACGAATTTCTTATGAAAATTTCTGCTGTATAGTAAAGCTGAGAGAATTTTACTGTGAACGTGTGTACCTACCACATAGCTTTTACCACATTATTATACTTACTTTACTGCATATTCACGCCTGCTTTTTTACTCATTAAAAATCCTCTCTACTTCTGATACATTTCAAAGTAAACTGCAGGCATTAGCGTTCTTCCCCTAAAATACTGTAGCCTGCGTGAAATCAAGGATTTTTATCATTTTAAATAACAAAATGGAAATTTTATATGGTTTAATATAAATAGAATAAAATCTAGTTTTCTGTCTGTGAGTCTCTCTGTGCATTCATCCATCCATCTTTTTCTGCTTCCACTCACCCATCTATCTTCTCATTTATTTATTCTTTTATCCACCTACCAATTCACAAATCTTTCCATCTATCCCTCCACCCATCCACTCATCCACCATTTCTGCAAGAGCTCGTGCATACTCATGGTTTCCACAAATGATTCAACATCCTCCAGTTTTTCTCTCTGGTCCAGGAGATAGTTCTATCAGGATAGAATATATCCAGCTCAATAATGTTCCAAGCTAAAGTCACTGCCTGTCTTTTACTATCACTATTGCCCATTTTAGTTCAGTCTCTCATGAAACACAACCACTGTGTACCCAACTGTTCACACCAGAACCTGGGGGAGTCCTTGATTCTTCCTTCCCATCCTTTTCTCTCCCCAACATGGCTTGAGATTTACCTCCACATTAGCTCTGGGTTCCATCCTCTCTTTTCTTTCTCTTGCACCAGTTCAGGTATCCCTCATCTCGTCCCTGGACAGCTCCCTAGTCTCTTGACTGGTTTCTCAGCTCCCTTCCAACCCTCTCTCCACACTGACTTCTTACCATGAGATACCTGGCCATGATGATGGCATGGGGAAACTTCACTTGCCACTTCATACACTCCCGATGGGAAGGCTAAACTGATACATGTATCTTAGAGAGCAATTTATCAAAATCTATTCAATCCCAATGGACAAACCATTTTTCTCCAGCATAATTCTACTTGAAGGAATAGCCAATGTCCATCAGTAGGAAGTGGCTTAGTAAGTACTGGTACACTCATGATATCAAATAATGCACATAATAAATATAAAGAATGAGCACTTAGTAAGCAACGGTTGAATAATACAGCAAAATTTTAAATTAAAACATTTATTACAGTAAAAGACCCACTGGCATCGTGGCTGCTTGATGTCCTCAGTCAATTCAAAACATTAACCTTTCGTTGTCATTTTGACTTTGGGGAAGAGCCAGAAGTTGCACAGTGTTAGAGCCAATGAATGTTTTCACAAGCTACCTTCCTACTGGATGGCAGTCAACAGCAGCATTCAAAGCCACTGCAAAAGAAGACTTTCAGAACTGCTGCAGAAAGTGGTAAGAACGATGGGACAAGTTATATTTAAAATGAGGGGGATCATTTTGAGGGAGTTAATGGCAATATGTCTTTTATTGTAATATGTTTTAAAAATTTAAACATTTACCGTGTAGTCTGAGGATGTTATATATGTACTGATATGGGAAGGTCTGTAACATATTAATTTAAAGCAAATTGCAAATGTGGGATGAAATGTCTCCCATGACCCTAGCTTCTCCTTATATTCAGGTGTTACACTGGTTTGGAATGTAAGCAGATGCTAATGTGTCCAGGGGAGATGCTTAGGAATCCTCTTCCTGCCCTTCAGGTCTTCTTGGTGCATGTGTGAAGGGGTAACATCATTCTGGTAGCTCCGTCAGGAAAAGTTGGCCCTGTGGGTTGCTGGGTTGTCCTTAAATACCTCTTGCTCTTGGACCATTGTGGAAACCAGAAATGAACACAGAAATGCCCCTCGAAGCCTTGGAACATGTCGAGGGCTGACAGAAGGTCTGTTGTTAGCTCCTATCAGACCTTGTGGAGCTCCTGAGCCTGTTCCCTCAGCTCTAGGGAGCTGCCCATTCTTCCTAAGGTGTTCCAAAGGTCAAATCCAGCGCAAACAGTGCGCAAAAGTCTATCTTGCTAAACACATCAGAATTATTGGTATTTACTTATCTCCAAGATCTACTCAGCTCACTTCTGAATACAAAATGATCCTAACACACGTAACAAAAGCTATAACCTTCCTTTGTTTCAGTACTTATTTTATGCCCAGGATTGAGCACTTTGTGTGTCTGATATTATCTAAGCCCTAAAACAATTCTTTTGTGGCAGAAATTTTTGCTCCTCCCTTTTACAGATACTAGCAGAGGTACAACAAGCTTAGCAAGGTTGAATGACTCCTTCGATAACATGCAGGAATTGGCACTACCCCATCAGACCCCCAGTCTCTCTGAGCGGAAAGTTCATGCCTTTCCCATTGCTTAGTCGTCTTCTTCATCCTCCTTCTCTTTTTTTTCATTTTTTATTAGTACATGTTTGCAGTTCATAATGTTTATATTCTTTGTGTGAAGTTGGCACCTGTACACAACACATTTAATCCCTTTACTCATCTCCTTTCCCTCCCTTTCCTCCTCCTCCTTCCATCTCTTGACCGCCTTTTGAGAAAGAATTTCCCTCTGACTTTCTGCTGTCTACCTTTTATTTTGCTCTTTATTTATTATTTGGGTTTCTCATACAAGAAAAACCATGCACTACTTGAGCCTGTGTGCCTGTTTATATTATGGTTTCAAGGTGCATCTATTTATCTACAAATGATTCAAGTTTATCTTTCTTCATATCAGAATAGTACTTCATTGTGTATAAATACCACATTTTCTGTGTCCATTCATCTGCTAAGAGACACATAGGCTGCTCCCAAGATCTAGCTACTATGAATTGTGCTGTAGTGCATTCTCACTACAGTATGATTTTAACTCTTTCAGGAAGATCCCTAGAAGGGCAATAGCTGGGTCTGGACCAGTGCTGTTGATGACAGACATAAATACAAACCATAGTATGATTTAAAAATTTCTGGTCACTTTAAAAAAGAAAAGAAATAGGTAAAATTCATGTTAATTATATATATATCTTATCTCACCTTTGTTCAAAGTATTATCACTTCAATATGTAATCAGTATAAAATGAATTAATGAGATGGGCATGGTGATAAATGGCTGTAATTCCCAGCTACTTGAGAAGCTGAGATTATAGAACAGAAAGTTTGAATTTAGCCTGGGAAACTTAAAAATAACTAGGGATCTATCCTCAGCAAAAAGGAAGGAAGGCTAGGGAGGGTAGAGCTCATTGGTAGAGTGCTTGCTTAAAATGCATGCAGCAGGTGCTGGGGATTTAGCTCAGTAGCATAAGCGCCTGCCTTGCAAGCAGGCAGTCCCGAGTTCGATCCCTGGTACCGATAAAAAAAAGAAAAAAATGCGTGAGGCCCTGGGTTCAATTCTCAGAATTGGGGTGTGTGTGTGTGAACTTACTAAATGGAACTTTTATATTCCTTTTGGCAAACCAAGTCTTTCAAACCAGATGTGCATTTTATGTGTATGAAACAACTTAATTTAGACAAACCACATTTCGTTGCTCAATATTTGTGTTTCATTGGAGAATACAGCTCAGTACACCTCAAGCAAGTCTGACCCTTAATGAGCACCTGATATTTAGTCTCATGGCCTTGTAAAGCAGGTGCTCTTACAAGCGACAGAGAACAGAGATGAAGTTCAGGTAGGACAGGACCATGCCTGACATTCGAAGGCTAACTTGAGAAGCTGGAGTTGAAATCAAGACTCATTCACAGATCTGCTCTGGCTTCTGGTTGTCAAGTTGTTGAACAGTCTGTGGTGGCATGTAAGTCACATGTGCCCATACAAACCAAGCTCCCGAGATAGCATGATTTATAGTACTTCATTTTAAACAGTCTAACAATACATAAAAACATTTAAGGGTCGGCTTAGAAGTATGCAGCGAGCTCTGGACTTCTCACAGAGGTGAGACCTTGAGAACTGGTAATAATTCCCTCCTCAGAGAGCCTTCCTTGGAGTTCAGGTTCCCACCCTCTCAGAGGAGCTGCTCCTGGAACACGAAGCTGCCTTCATTCTTTCCTGGAACGCATGGTGAGAAGGCCTTTGAGCCCAGCAGTTTCCTCCCACTCAGGCCAAGTCTGACCCCTCATCTTAATGACACTGTGTAATACTGGCTATGTTCTTGTGGGGGCTGGAATGGTGGTGCTGATTTCATGATTTTTTTCTAGGTTGGTCTTGGATCATTATAAAATTTGGGCACCTGGGCTGGCCACTGTCCCTAACTTCTGTTAGGTTGCACAGGAGCTATGTATGTCCAGACAGCTTTCTTGGTCCCACTGTGTGACTGCTTCCTTAGATACATATGCTGTTCTCTCTTGGCTCTTGCAGACTGGCATACAACTAAACTGTACTTTAATTCTGACTTCTTGAATGTGATCAGAACTGTTTGTTCATCAAGCTTGAGGATGAAACTAGGGGAGAGAGGAAGAAAGAGGGCTCTAATCTGCCTCTAAAGTGTCTATAATTCATCAGCTTGTCTTACTTTTTCCATCATCTCCTCCAAGGTACCATAATCACTGGTCATCATTCAG